CGGCTGATTTTCCATTTCTGAAATCAACCAATTTCATTTTTGCAAAAGTTTTTCAGTGTAACTTAATTGTACCCCAAAAATTATTGTAAGGGAAATCTTTTGGAGAGAAACAGTCAACAGTGAATGGATCTCTCCAGTTATTTCTGTTTTCTCTCTACATTTCTATTTTTAGGTATCGAATGATAACAGAAGGCGGAGTCAGCATAAATCACAGACAAGTAACAAATCCTGAGAGTGTCTTAGTTGTTGGACAACATATTCTCAAGAACGGACTTTCTTTACTTAAAATAGGAAAAAGGAACTTTTACATTATAAAATGGCTTCAGTTATGATGAAAAGTCCTTCTGGTGGTTCAAACAAACTTGCCCATCATCATTCATTCTCGAGACTTGTAAGATTGGCTCCAGAACTTACACCTTTGCTTATGCAAATCAGGGAAACAGAACGGAGTATACGCTAGGCCTCAAGTGTGAGTAATTTCACTATTTTTATGGGTTGGTTAATAAATAAGGTGTTTGTTTAGTGATGGGGTATTTTATTTCCTCATCCACAAACACTAAGGACTACCATAGAAAACCATGATTTCCAGGGTTAATCTCTTTTTTATAAAAAAAATCTACTTCATCAAAGAAATAAATGCTGTCTTCCTGTTCTTCTTGTGCTCCTTTTTGGAGTGATAAGAACAATGAAAAAGAAGTTTTGTAAATAAGGAATTGTGGTTACTTATACATCAAGTACAGAGCACTGATCTCACTAGTGTTACTTTTAAAACCAGTAGTGCCTCCAGTGTGCACACTAGAAATGGGAAAACCAGTTGTGAATTCGATGTTGTTTAGGAATAAAGGACAAAAGTTAGATGAGGCCATAGTTAGCATTAGAAATTACAGTAAGAAAAGTTTTTTTCAGAGAAAAGAACAAAACTCCAGTACTTTTCAGGGAGATTCTAATTCAGTTTCCTAGTCCATTACCTGTGTTCTGGTATAATTCTGGTTACTTACAGCCTTGTTTTTTCAGTGGACTTCTAAAGTAGCACAATTTTATAAATTTAGAAACTTTTAAATTAGTTTTAACTGTCAATTTCACCATTATAACTTTTAAAGTAACAGAAAAGTTAAGTAACCAAAGAAATAAAAGAGGGAACTATTACACCAAATATGCAATCATATGAAAAATCAAAAGGTGTCCAGGTAAGGGAAGTTTTCAGGTCAAAATTTAAAGGATTTAGAATCAAGACACAAGTTCAGCTCTCCAAACATTAAGCAAGGTAATTCTCCAGAACTGTTTTCACATCTGAAAAATTAAAATGCCCCCCATTTCACTTAGGATCGATCAAGTGAATCACACACACAAAATCATCTTTTCTGAAAAATTTAGTCAAGAGAGCATGACTTTAGTGTTCATATTCTAGCCATTTACTACCTGGATTACTTGCAGCAAGTAATCTCTCTGCAAAAATGGAGATATCATAACACCTCATTCAATTGTGAGGATCAAATAGGAAAAGGTCATGTAATTTTTGGTACTTTATAAGCTGTGTGATTCCAAAGTAGAATTTGCTATTAAAAAGCTATAGTTCATCTAAACCTTTCTCTGGGCGAAGAGTTAGGAAGAATTCATTTATTGACAAACTTTAGTGTCATTTCATACCAGTAATTTTATTTACACAGCAAGAACATACAAGTGTCTATTATAAATGTCAGAGATCATCTCTACATTTCAGAACTTCACTCAGTTTAAGATCAACAAAGGAAGGGTTTTTTTTCCTTTCATTTAAAATTTCTTGCCTCTGTTTTTCTTTGTACAAAGTGTGTAGTACTACCAAGTGCATTACCGTAGCATTTTAAAACATTTTCAATTTGAAATGTTTGGTGTGCTGGAGAAAAGTACAGCATAAATTTTTTTTTCCTTTCCTTACAAATTCAAAAGTCTCAAATGGTAGTCATCTGATCTGAAAAAAGTATGTTATGGATGGCTATAATTTCAAAACTGGTGCTTAATGACAACTGTTTTTAAGTGTGCTAACATGTTGAGTGCATGTATTCTGTCAAGATGGCATGATTAACAGACGCAAAGCAGTACCACATGTCAGACTAATTTAGGGATTTTTGTATCTGAGATAAGTTGCTGACCCTGGTTTTTGGTAA